AAAAGCGGCAAATTCAAATGTGGCGCTTCCCGCGCCCCCCCCTTTCAGTCCGTAGGCCGTGCCTCCGGATGCCTTCCAGGGCTTCTCCGCCGCCATGGGAGGCATCTCGGAGGTCCCCCTCCACCACCGATAGTGGCTCCGGGGGGACTTCTGAGATGCCTCGCATGGCAGCAGAGAAGCCCTGGAAAGCATCTGGAGGTACGACCTACGGCCTACGGACTGGAAGGGGGAGGTGGGGAAAGCGCTTCGTAAGTTGAGACTCCACTGTACTGAGAACCCCCAACTGTTAATTGTTCATTTTCTGACTATTAAGACAGTAATATACAAATTAATTCTAACCAGGGTTATTAAGTGCATGAGTGTATTTGTTAGAACATTGTACTTATTTAGAAAGTTTGTATTTAAGTAGATGCAATGTTGCTTTTGTACAGGATCAGCAATTCCAAAACCAGTTTCAGACTTCCACAATTTGCTTGAGTCTTTGCTTCAGAAGGATCCTCTGAAGAGGTAAATTGATGATTTGATGATGTTGGTATTTATATATACCAATATTTTTATATACACCAGTATATGTGTGTATAAATATTTTAGCCAACAACAACTGGTATTTTTGAGCAGTTTTCAAAAACTCGGAGTTTACAGTTTTCTTTATTTCACTGTATTTAAAGATTGACATGGCCACAGCTGTTGCAGCATCCTTTCTGGAAAGATGCTTTTTCACAAATTCCAAGTGGATCTCTCTCCAGACAAGATCTGATGTCTAGGTATGATATGTTCAATAGAAATGTAAAAATAATGAATACTGTTGCATAACTAGCATAATGGAACATAGGCTGTCATAGGCCTAAGCCCACATCATCAGATTGGGTGCATGAGGCTGTATACTTCAGACAAAATAGATTTTCTTCGATGACATTTACACAATGTTTGTTAGTCTCTAAGGCTTCATGGACTCTGATTTTTCCTCTGCAACAAATATAACAGTAATTCTACAATTTCACCTGTACTTCTTTTTAGAGGACAGCATCACAAGGAATAATTAACCTTGTAACATTAACCTAGTGTAGATGGTACTTCCAAAGGTTTTAAGCTGTCATGGGAATTTTGTGCTGTTGTCACTCTTTTGACCTGTATCTGTTGCTCTGAATTTGTTAGCTCTTGTCCTGCAGTGTATTGCTTTAGTGCTTATATGCCAGACTTTCAGTGCTAAATGATGTTTCTAGGCTAACTAATAAAAAATGCAAAATTAGAAGAGAAAAACAAAAAGGTTCAAAAGCATTAAAAATACAGTAGCCCAATGCAGGACAAACAATTTCACCTACTTGTGAAATGAATAGGTACTGGAGTAGCTTGCATGTTGTCTTGGAGGTGTCCAGCAAGAATTAAGAAAAATATTTAAAACATTTTCTATCTGGAAGTGTGTGTTTCCGTGTAAATAAAGGGCTGAATACTTTTGAGTCTTGTCTGCCCATGTTCAGTCTGCCTTTCTCCCTTGTATTGGCAGATCTTATCTGCTGGGGTGGGTCCACTGATTTGAGCTCTGGACATCTGTGGTCTGGTGTAATCTGGTGAAGGGTACTTTTAGACGGTGTGGTCAGCCTTGCAAATTTACCTAAAATGCATTCTGTTTGGAACTAATTTGATCTAGATTTAACCTTGTGTTTAAAACTAAGCATTGAGTACTCTTTAATATTACTTTTATTATGTTGAGCAATTGAAGTTTCTTCGAAATATTCAGTAAACACTACTTTGATTCCAAAATTGGTTTCAGTGTTGTTGAAATCATTAGGTGAAACTCTCTACCAAATGTAATTTCAGTGTAAATGAAATATTTAGTAAATTCTGTTTGATTGGGTAATAAATCTTTCAACTTTTTCCAAATGCTTTTCTAATGATTATACATAAATAGGCTGTTTTGAAAGTGTTAAAGTTTTTTTAAAGTTCTGAGATAAACATTCAGCACTGTCTATATTAAATTCTAAGTAAAATCCCTTGTTCTTTGTCTGAATAGCAGTGAAAATGCCAAGTTATTTGTACCAGGAAGGTCTGAGGATGAATTAAAGGGGGAAGAATCACCAGAAATTACATCTCCAGGAACAGAAAACAAGCAATTAAACAGATCTTTCAAGATGGGTAAAATGCAGTTTCATTTTCTCTGTTAGCATAATGTAAAATGTGGAAATGAGATCTGCATCTGAAACATTACATTTCTGTACATTGTTCAGGTTGATAAAAGTGTTTTTTATCTTTGCCAGAAAATCCAGGAGAATTGCGCCCTAAAAGTGCTATAGATGGTGAATTAAATGAATCTATATTTCTGCTCAGGTATGAGTAAAATAACTGCCAAATATTTTTGAACATTTTGGTAGTATTCAGTTTTCTGGAAGGGGAAATGACATTTACATTATAAATCTTTATGTGAACCCTTTGAGTAAGCAGTGGAAAGGGATCTTTGAAATCTAAAGAGCAATTTTAAAAAAATCTGCCTATTTCAATTGTTTTCAAAGTACTGTAGTTTATATGAGAACAGTCAATTCTTTAATGCCATATTTTTTCTAATATTTTCTGAATGCAAAAATACTTTTGAAAAGTACAACAATTCCTGTTAAATACAGAAATATTGAAGATTTAACAGACCTCTTTTCAAATTGTTACAGCAAAATTATTTCGGAGAAGCCAGCTATTTTAATCAATGGAGAAGCTAAGTCTTGTCAGATGTGGTTTATAAGTAGAAGTTTTGTAAATGATTCAGAATTTGAAAAATACTATGATTCATTGGCATTAATGTGCTATATTGTTTACCCTTGTATCCATTGTTTCAGTTCACGACCCACCCCTAGAACTAGCACGGCAGTAGAAATAGAACAACAGCTGCAGCATTATTTATCTCCAGATTCTTTACAGAGATCATCTACTTGTCCTTCAACAAAGGTGAGTGTGGGTTGAATAAAATAGGAAATTTCTGTATGATTTCAGTAGCCAAACAAACAGTAATCATAGCTAGGAATACGCACCACCACTATAATCCAAGGAGGTGGCAGATTAATTGACAGTTTAAAAAGAGACAGACTGAAAAAAATTAGAATAAAGAGATCCTTATATCTAGCTGGGAGAAGGCAATTGGAAAAATCTGGTTTTCATACAGTAGAACAAACAAAGGTTAGACAACAGATTATCATAAATACTTGGTGTATGATCTTAACTATTGAGGATTAAAAAGTTGATAAGGTTTTTAAGGGCACTGGAGTATATGAAAACCAAATTGTATGTTCCAGAATGATGTGTCAAAAAGTGAAAGAAAGGAAAAACTACAGTATGTGGGAAAAGGGAGATTAATTTAAAGAAAGAAAAATGAAGCAAGTGAATGTAATTTGGAAAGGAAGAAGAAAAATACTGAAGAAATTGAATACATTTATATCAAAATGTATCAAAATGATTATATCAAAATGAGTGATTTTCTCATTCTGTTGTGTGTACTTTATCTGACAAGAAGTGATGTGTACTTGCTGCAAAAGTTAATTACTTTTCATGTTAGATTGGAAATATGAGTTGGAAAATGGTGAATATAATGTTAAAGGTGAACTATCTGATTCATATGGTTTAATGGGTGTTAAGGTACAAAGGAGAGCTTTTCAGGAGGGCAAGATGCATTACATTAAGGTTGCGATCCAGGGGCCATAGAGATATATCTGAGAGCTCCAACAACATAGAACTGATTTTGGATCTCACTCTCTTCCTGCTTGTATCTTTCTTTGCTCATGTGAGAGTTCCAAGGAAGAATGAGAGGAACAGCTTCATAGGAAGTAGAACTGAATTGTGTGGAAGCACTGTCTCTAATATCCTTATTTATAGGGTGAAAACTGAAATTTCTTCTATCAAACTAGTTGTGTGGGGGCATTTACTACTTCAGAGGCTGTGAAGAAAAGCCCTCTTATTTATAAGATGGGTATATACAGTATCAGATTCTTTGTACTGAATATGCTGCTGTGTTTTAAAAAAATCTTTAAAGGAGAAAATGTTTTAATATTTCTTTATGTCGTAGGCTAAAGACATATTCTGTGTTCAGCAGGATATCGAGTCCAAAGTGAAAGAACTTATCTACACAGAGTCTGACCTTACTGTGACTTCTATTATTGACAATCCAAAGGTACTACAAAAATTCTCCACAGACCTTTTCTTGATGGTTTTTCAGAAACTTAGAGGACTTTTTGTTGTTTTTGCTAGTTTTTGCATGGAGTAGTTGCATCTTTAATTCCTGTACTTCCACCTAGTGTTCGTGCCTGGCTTCTGCAGTTTTGTGTGATATTTCTTAGTGTGCAATCAGACAGGCATTTCTCCCACTGTTTAGTCCACTGTGGGAATGGATGGGTTCACTCCTTTTTCTGATGATCACATGACATTATCACTACAGTGAACCAACCCATCCTCAGAGCATTCCTAATCACACCTCTCTGGATCGCTGTCAAGGGGTGGCTTCTTCTTCTTCCTTCTTCTTTCTTCTCCTCCTTCTTCATTTTTTAAAGTAGGATCATTCTGGATTTTTTCATTTTCAGCATCTGTGACCGCTGGAAATGAACCAATGTGAGTCTTTGGCTGTCAAGGCTCCTGCTATCAATTTGCTATATCATTAAGTGGTTTAAGAACAGAGCCAGTTCAGGATTCTGTATTGGCAAATTAAATGCTTCTTCTGCTCCTTCATGTTGGAGCACTGACTGGTGGTAAATTCAACTGCAGGCAGGTTCTCTACAAGACCTTTAAGACAAGTCAAATAAAAGAAAAAAAATTCTCCTCATTGTCCCCACCCAGTCTCCCCCTGCTTTTTTTTTACTTCCTCTGGATCTCCACAGAGGAACTGGACCAAACAGGGTTGCTTGAGGCATACCAGATCTCCACCCAACCTCAAGCAACCCATGCCAGCTTGCTCCAAAAGATCCTGTATAGATACCGGTAAGTCCTTATTCTGTTAGGGTGAATGTTTGTGGTACTGACTGATAGAGCCTGAAGGTATTTGAAGAAATGTTTGGACTTGGAGCTTGAAAAAAATTGGGCATATATTCTGGGTATTCTAATGGTATGCTGTTGCATCCTATAGAACCAGCACATGTCTTGGAATGCCGGTTTTTAGAAGTTATTGACTTGCATTTTTTATCCCACTCACATTTGTAAAAACTATTATTTATTTGTATCAGAACTACAACATAGATTAGATAGAGATAGAATGATTTCCCTGGAGTTGCATAGTGAGCTCAGTGGTACTTAAGCAAAGATTGTAACCTAAATGTGAGTCTTCAAGATTTCCTCCTACATTCTACCACAGACACATGTTGATAAAAGGAAGTTGTGGTAATTCATAGGCCCATATGTTGACAAAATAGTGTGACAGGTGGTAGCAGGTGTTGGTCATCTGAAGATAAACCTGGGTTGCAATAGTTTGCCATAAAATGCAAGTTATTAACAGTATGTTAATAGGGAGAAGATTAGTGAATTAAACAATTCTGATTCTCCTCCCCCTCAAGAAGGACCCCAAACTCCATTGGGATTCCTTTCATTGTCAAGAAGCAACTAGGGGCTGTGAGATGTCTTGTTGCTGCAAGACTTTTCCCTGTCGCACAGCTCCAGCAGCTTCCTCTCCACCCCCCACCCCCGGATGAAGGGATTCTGTGGGAGCAGCAAGATCTTGGGTGGGAGGGGGGAAGGAGGGCTTAGGATTTTTTAATTTGAGAAAAACAACTGTGGCAAATGACACCAACCTTACATGACACTGCTGTGTGAAAAGGATTTCCCTCACAGTCTTAGTATGATGATGCAACCTACGCTTTCTTTTCTGTTCTGTATGTTTTGTGATTTTATAGTTAATTGATGGGTCATTGATTCATTATAATAGAAAGTATGTTTGGGAATGGGTGTATATTTTACCCTGCCCTATCAAATGGTCAGAATTGCCTTAGATGGATCTGTTCTTTTTCTCTCTCAGATAATGAAACAAGTACCAGTAAGATTTGACATGAAGAACTTGCATATTCCAGCATATTCAGGTATAGTTTGCTGAAGTAGTTATGAACTATTAAAGTGGAAGATTATTCTTAAAATAAATAAATAAATAACTCATTTAACTTTTTTATTGTTTTGCCTATTTGTTTTACTTCTAACTCCTATAGATGCTAATATGTAGGATGCTTACACAAGAACGAAAGGGCAGCTGTTGTAGCTGTTAATCTGAAGGAAGGAAAACATTGCTTCTATATATGTTACTAGAGAGCTTTGTCAACATTTTGTTTTGCTTCTTGCCTGACAAGAGACAATGTATTAGCAGAGTAATAGTCTAGTTCAGTAAGGACTATCGGGATTCCTTTTTTCCCCACTGTATTCACTGAACTGATATCACAGCCTTGTACAGATCAACTCAAAAGTTAAATCCCATTAAATTCAGTGGGGCTTACTCTCAGGGAAGTATGTATCAGATGGCAGCCTAAGCCATGTGTATCTATATCCTATTCATGTTTACTTGGAAGCATTATGTTCAGTAGGACAACCTCTGTGTAGCCTGTGTAGTATCTTGTTTCTCAATATGATTCTCCTGTAATGATCCAGTCACCCTAAAGAAACAATGATCACAGTCAGGGAGACCCTCTGGGCGCAAAACTACCACCTTTGTTTCCTAGGTGGGTCCTTTAGGCCTCAGAAGTACATAGTAAGCCGGATAGACAAGCCTGAACCTTAAAAGTTACCTTGATTGCTTCCAAAGCAATTAAACATATGTGTTTCCTAGAATACACACTGGCCTTGTAAAGTAGGACAGTACGATCTCTATTTACAGTAGCCACTATTAACCTTCTTTCATCCACAATGGATTTAGCTATAGTCCTGCTGTATCAAGAGACTAGTCCTCTATTGAAGAATTATATTTGTTTTGGTTGTTGGGGTTTTTTTGGACTCTTTGGCCATGTTCTGAAGGTTGATCTTCCTAACATTTCACCAGTCTCTGTGGCCGGCATCTTCAGAGGACAGCACTCTGTGCTCTGGTGTAGTTTGCTTGGGAGTGGAGTATTTATGGCTGTGAGATAGGCTTTTGTCCTATTCAGGAGATGGGTGATTAGTTTGTCCTGTTGTGGGTGTATTGTTGTGATAAGGAGGAGAGATTATTTGTCACTGTGATTGATGGGTGTCATTAGCTGGTCTTTTGTGTGTAGTGATTCCCGGTTCTTATGGCTGGGTAGAGGTCGTTGTATTTTTCAGAGCTGGAAGCCAAGTTTTGTTGAGTTCCAAACTTTCTTCTTTTTTTGTTGAAGTTCTGCTGGTGCTTGTGGATTTCAATGGCTTCGCTGTGCAATCTAACGTAATGATTGCTGGTGTTGTCCAGTATTTCAGTATTTTGAAATAGAATTTCATGTCCAGCTTGTTTTAGGGCATGTTCAGCTACTGCAGAACAAGCCCTATCAAGAAAATAAAGAACATGTTTAAGAAAATAAAGTTTCAGTAGGATACAGTGGTAGCTTTAAAGCTTAAGCATTAGGCATTTTCAAACAGTTACAATGTTTAAATAAACTTACAATTTCTAATTAAAATAAAAACAGGTAAGTCTAGGTAATGATCTTGGCTAGAGGCTGGGCTATTCCCCTCTCCTTCTCCTTGAAAAGAAAAACAAATCTCTGTGTCTCACATTCCACAGCATTCACCAACCATCCTTTTCACATACACCAACCCTCTCATTTTACATCTCTTTAGGACTAACTTCTTCATTACACTTTTAAGCTGTCAACCAATTTAAGTCCAAGTAGGCGTAATTCAGAACACTCCGCTCACCGCTGCAAATACTCGTGAACCAGGCTCCAGGTGTCTTATCTCCTTCAATTTAGCGGTCTTTTGTTTCATCTTCTTTTCCTAGACTGTCTGACCTTGTGAATTAGTCAAACAACTCTGCACAATAAGCTCCTGAAAAACATCTCTTTTAAATTCATCTTACACAGAACCTAACAGCCTCCATTTCTATATGATACGATTCCCAGTTTCCATCCAGTTCCTTACATCTCCTTTCTTCTGTCCTAGCATATTGGGCTTCAACAGTCCAGTGCCCTGTACCCTGTGTCTTTTCCTGCTTAGTCCACACAGCAGTCAGATTTCCATTATATGATTCTTCGAGATTGTGCTTTTAAAGGTCTTGGGTGCTTTTGAGTCTTCTGTCTAACTGAATTTTCTGGGCAGGAAACTCCCCTCTTTTTCCATTTCTGTCTAAGCAGTGCTCTTACATTCCTCCCACTGACCTATGGTGTCCCTCATCTCCCCCATATATCATTTAATATACAATTGCAGATTGGCTGGAATGTTGGCATTTGCTTCCAACACTGTGTTGATGACATCCAGTCTTGTTTTTTCTTTCCCTCTAAATCTTAAACTTTGTTTAAAATCACTCTCTGATGTTCCTTCTAGATTAAAGCAAAGCAAAGCGTGCTGCTTATATACCACCCATAGTGCTTCAAGCACTCTCTGGGCGGTTTACAAGTTAATTATGCAGGCTACACATTGCCCCCCCAGCAAGGTGGGTACTCATTTTACTGACCTCAGAAGGATAAAAGGCTGAGTCAACCTTGAGCCAGCTACGTGGGATTGAACCCCAGGTCGTGAGCACAGTCTTGGCTGCAATACAGCGGTTTAACCACTGTGCCACGAGGCTTTTTAAAAGTATAGATTTTGAAGGGACAACTAAGAAGACACCAAGATGCAAAAAAATAGTAATTATAAGCAACCCACATAACACAATGTTTAACAAGAACGAACTGACTGTAGATATATTGAAAAACTAATTTTTTAAAGAGAAAATATCCTCAGACATGCCAGAGATGCCCACTCTTGTTTAAGGGAAAGATTTCTAATAAGACACTGTGTTGTATAAAACATGTGCACCTGTTTGCTAGCAGATAGGAAGAAGGACCAGTAGGTAGCATTGTCTTTAATCCCACAATGATCACCTAGCAGTCCCAAGATACTGTACCTTGCTATCTGGAGCAAAGAACAAGATGGCATCCATTTTCAATGTACAAAAGTCAGCTGGACTGGTAGTTGAATTGTACTTTAACATTGGCAATAGGACACCAGTACACTTGAAGACACTGCACCTGAGGACAGCAGACTAAATTACTGCAGGCAGACTATTGGCACATCTCACTGCTGTTGCCTGTCTTTTAGCATCTGCCACCTGAGAGAGCAGCCAGGCTCTGCTTAGTGGCAGCACTGGCCGTGAATTCATATCTGGTAGCAAAAACAAAAAAAGAGTGCACACAGAGGATAAGCATAATAACTGTTTCAGTCCTAAGATTGTCTGATGTCCAAGCAATACAGTTAGTGCAACAGTGAAACAAGCACAGTCACTTGCTAGTGGGGCTGCAAAGAATAATACAGACTATTTTTTAATAACCTGTTTGTTAATGTAACACAAGATAATTCCTTATAACAATAGAGCCTAATGCAAATGTGAAGGTATATTTCCTGCAGTGCCCTATAAGAACACAGGTTTTAAATTTCTGAATGCAATTTTATTATTGCCTAAAAGAGACCTCAATTAAATTTATTTTAGAATTAATTTTACACTACTTTTGTGCAGATAAAAATCACTGTTATGCTTTTATAGCTGCCACTTGAATATAAACAGGAAATCAGTAGCTTATATTGAAAACCATATTCTAACATTTAAAAACTGTTAACATTCAAGGCATTGTGTTACTTATTGTTTGTTCCCATTTTAATTATTTATATCCACTGTCAGGAGAGGCAAACCAAATTAAAGCTTATCAAAACAAGACAGAGAAGTTCCTGCTTTGCTGAAAGGCAGATCAGAGAATCTGGGTTTCAGACTGTGCTGGATGTGGTGGTGCCTTGAGGACTTATTTGGCAGTTTGAGTGTACCCCTGTATTCCGCCTTAGACTTGGATTCCCACATTGTAATGGTAGCTGGGAGTGTGCAGGTTCAGAGTTCTGTTGACACACTTTTAACCAGGACAACTTGTGGCATGCTTATGACTCCTTGTTGTGACAGTCTCTCTGACTCTCTGGTTTGTTTTAGGGCACAAAACAAAATGGTGGGTAATTTCTTTTGCTACATCCCATACCTGTGTCCAGTAATTTTGACCTTTTCGCATGTCCACCACATATGATAACAAGTTCCTGCATTCTTTTTACACTTCCAGCATATATTGCTGCTGCCCTCTGATATTTTTGCTAATCTTACAGGTGTGTAATGCCATCAATAAATCATTTTAAGGATATTTTCTCTAAGATTTGCTGGTTTCAGCATCTTATAGCTTTCTTTCCACATCTTAGTCCAATCATCAAGATCCACACTGTATCCAAAATTTTTTGCCCATTTTACCATTGTTTCTTTCACCCTCTCATCCTCTAAATCAGTGGTCCCCAACCTTGGGCCTCCAGATGTTCTTGGACTTCAACTCCCAGGAATCCTGGTCAGCAGAGATTGTGGTGGAGGCTTCTGGGAGTTGTAGTTCAAGAACATCTGGAGGCCCAAGGTTGGGGACCACTGCTCTAAATCATATTCTACTAAGTATGTATACATTTTTTTGATTATTCTTTCGTCTGTATATATCCACAATCTATCCACTTGTACTTTACCCTCAAAGAAACCCACCATCCTATCTTTTTTATATCTTGATTCTAATTTTACCATTGACCACCAATCGACAGCTATGCCCATTTTTTCAAGCTCTTGTTTGTCCTTTATCTTCTGCTCATTAGTTAACAGGTTTTCATATGTAGTTAGCATTCCTTTCTGGTTCAGGGTTTTTAATGTGAATGCTTCCATGGGTGCCACCCACAATGGGATTTTCTCATAAGTTTGTGCTTGAAATTTCTGCCATACCATCCCTAGGGCCTTCCTGATAATGTGTTCTCCAAACTGTGAGTGTTCCCTATATTTCCCATACCATACATATGCGTGCCATCCCATCTTTAAATCGTGTCCCTCTAGTTTCAGAAGTCTTTGATTTTCTAAAGTTATCCATTCTTTAATCCAGGTCATCGCGGAGGC